GTACAATTCCCAATGAGAAATGTAATTGTGCTGTATACCTAAAATGTACCAATAAAAGAATTTAACAAAAAAAAAATTAAAAAAAAAAAAAAAAAAGAAAGAAGGACTAAAATGTATAATAAGACAGGCTAGGGATGTAACTCAGCAGCACAGTGCCTGCCTGGAAAGCGCGAGGTCCTGAGCTCAATCCCTGGTACCAAAAAAATAAAAAAATAAAATAAAATGTATAACAGATATTGGAAAATGGGAAGAAAATGTTCAAATGGAAAAGGGAACAAGGGAGGAGGTAGAAAGAAAAAAAAGAGAAGGGCCCAGGGTTTAGCTCAGTGGTTCCATTGCCTGCCTAGCACGAGCAAGGTCCTGAGTTTGAGCCCCAGTACCAAAAAAAACAAAAAGTGAGACAGAAAATAGAAGGAAAAAAATGGAAACAAAGTTTTGGTACACAGGGAGGGGAGGGGGCCAGAGGAAAGGGGGGATGGGAAAAGAGAGGCAGGAGGTATCGCATACACGTCCAAATTCTCTATGAAGAGTGTTATCATTACATATGCCTAAAATGTACCAATAAATACTTTGCTATAAAAATAAATAATAAATATGTAAGGATTCAAAGGAAAGAAAAAAAAAAAAGACAAGTCTGGGCTCATAGTGAGTTCAAGGTCAGCGTGAACTACATAACAAGACCTGTATCAAAAAACAAAAATAAAAAACTAAAAAAATTACTTTAAAAAGCTATACATGAGAGTAATCATTTAATAACACATACAGAGCTAAATTAAAATTACTTCATCTACCCAGGCGTGGTGGTGCACACTTGTAATGAGCACTCAGGAGGTTGAGGCAGGAGGATCGCTGCAAGTTCAAGGCCAACCTGGACCCTGTCTCAAAAAAAAGGGGGAGGGCCCAGGGTTTAGCTCAGTGGTTCCACCATCTGCCACGCAAGTGCATGGACCTGAGTTCGATCCCCAGTATCAAAAAAAAAAAAAAAGGCACCTGCATAACATTACATTTGCCAAATCATACTTAGCACACTACTACTGTACTGTAATCTTTTGGGGGGGGCCACTGGGGATGGAACTCAGGACTTTGCGCTTGTGAGGCAGGCAGCGGAACCACTAAGCTAAATCTCCAGCCCTACTGTAATCATTTTTGAGAGATTGTGTTTTAAATGTCTTTGTAATTTGAAAAGGTACAGTGTACAATATCCAATTACAAGTATATTTCAATTCCTACATTTAGGGGAAACCCATCTGTTTATACTAACAAATTAAGCTGCTTGTTACTTAATAGCTACATTTTTCCCCCCAGAATACTGCCAGTATTGGAAGAGTGGGAGGGAAGAGTCAAAAGAATAAAAATACTTAACTTAAAAATAGAATTGCACTTGAACTTTACTAATCAGTCAGTACATTGTCCCCCATAGTTGGGATGCATTGATTTAAAAAGCTAACCAAAAATGGAATAATCTATGGACATTACTAAGATACATACACAAAGACTCTGTACTTGTATCATACAATAGCATTCACCTAACAGTTTATAAAGTAATCAGAAGAGAAAATGTAAGAACTATGTGCATGATTATACAGCAGTCTGGGTATCAGCACATATGTACTACCAAGAAGGTAATTTAAAATATTCATATGGCCATAAGTGAATGTACTAACTACAATACAGCATTAACACTGGCCTTTTGATACTTTCCCAACAACACCACTGACCTGATGATGTAGTATGTTATCTCACATACTGACACTACCACGTTAATAAATATCATATGTTCATTCCACTATCCAAAAAAAAGGTGATAATTCAAGTGAATTCTAGCATTAAAATCTTCAGTTTCCAAGTTTAAAAAACAGTGAAGTGTTAAAGCTGACATATACATTATGCTGCTAACAAGCTCATTTTCAACTGTTCCCTTTGAGCTACTAAAGGATACTGTTACTGTATCCTTTATCTGTTTCAACCCCAGGGTTAAGTCTCTTTGTACTCCTATACAGACTGCACTTCAACTAAACCACACACTAAGTAATGGCTGTACTACAGAGCTGGCTGACCCTCCATAGTACAATTTGACAATGGAAGCTTCCTATGAGCAAGGAGGCAGTAATCTGAGACAATTTTTTCCTGAATGAGTCTTTACTGTAATCACTCAGGAACACATTTTACATTTCCTACAGTAAGACTCAAGAGGTTGAGGGTTTTTTTTCGGGGGGCGAGTACTGTCAAAGCATGAGAAAATACCCAGTATGACAAGTCCAATACCAATCAGTCTAAAGCCTGAATCACTTTGTCTAATAAGTGATTTCACTGTTAAAATTTTATAATTGTTGTCTTGATGGAACGGTACTATAATTTCTAAAGTCAATATGACGCAAATAATTAGGAAATTCAAATTAAGCCAAGTGGTTTCTGGGAGAAG